AGTCAAACAATGATGACATTTTCCTTTGGTGTGACCTACTAGATCCATATAAAGTCTGGAAGATGGATAAAATGAGAAGTATTACATGTTATGGCAGATATCATTCTATACTTTTTTTGTCAAAATAAAAAATCTTAATTTTAAATGCTACATCACAAACATTATGTACAGTATGAAGAATTTATTCATTGGAATGGATTATCACTGTTATTAAATATATATTTATCAGATTAACTTTAAGTGAGTGTTAGGTGACAAAGCTAATCTAAATGTACAAATCTGCATTAAATGCATGCACAATTATATATCTTATACTGACTGATACCAATAAATTAATTCTCTTATATCAACTGATAACTAATGTAACAAAAATAGTGCATCTCTAACTTCCTTTATCCGCACGTATACATTTAAGCTATTATATGTTGAAAAGAACTACTCTGATACACCTGCTCTTTTCTTAAAGAGGACACCTGACTCCATATGGCTTCAGGCCGATGGTTCCCGCCATTTGTGTTCTAAATTGCTTCAAGTTTGAATTTGAACATTCCAATTAGATCATCACAGACGTGAGTTGTTGGTTTCACACCATCCTGTCTGAATCAGAAGTGATTTGTAGTTCAGCATGTGTCCATCTGTAAAATCTGATCTCATGTGTGAACTGACTACATTATGTAATGCCATTGAAACATTTGTGTGTGCGTGTGATTGATTGAACACACGAGACTGTTTGCATTGAGTTAACAACCATAAGTGAGAAATAGAGCGCTCCACAAGCAAACACTGACAATATATTTCAAGTTTAACCGAGTAGAGTTGACTGTAATCTGCTATGGAATGGTAATCTTGGATGCCTTATATAATAGGAATAAAACACCCCCACATGGAAACGCTTTCCTGTTTAATTAGTCAGGCTTTGTGTGCAAGCAGAAGAAATGCTCCATATGTGTGTTAGAAGGAGCCTGAAGCTCTCGCTCTCGGTTTCTCATGGGAGTTTGGTGCATGTGTGGGAACAGCAGGGTTCATGTGTGCAGAAAGGGTTATGGGATTCCTCTGAGTGGCCTGCTTGTGTGTGATTTTTAAAATAGTGCTTTTGTTTTTCAGTCCTTCCCACCACAGCAGTGTGATTTAGGCTCGTGCAGAGTAATGGTGAATGTTTCTATGGTTGTGGTGTTTGCGTGTTTCAAACAGATGTTCTGCCTCGGTCTCAGTCAAGTCACATTTATTTCTATAGCTCTTTATACAATACAGATC